TGCATTAAAACCACACACGTGCGAAGTGGACTGCATCTTCACTCTTCTGCTGCCCTTGTGTTGTGTAGACCTACAGTCTATGGTGTTGACCTGATCTTGACTTGTCAGCGACCACACACACACACACACACACACACACACACACACACACACACACACACACACACACANNNACACACACACACACACACACACACACACAGTGCTTTCTCATCAGACCTGTCAGCCACCTGTTTTTGGATGGCTGAACATCCTCTGCAACTGCAAACTGTACACACACACATATACAAACGACAAACAAGCAAGCAAGCAAACACACACACACACCAATAGTTTCAACAGCACAAATTACTCAACCATACCAATTCATTGTGCTCTCCTCTTTCGGTTTCCCTCTCCGTACCTTTTTTCTTCCTTCTGCAAGCATCTCTCCGCTTCTGTCCCTCATCTTCCTCAGTGATGGTGAAGAGTGCCGGGATGGCTGAGCGGCTGCCTCCCTTCCTCAGCTTCCACTTTCCCTGTGTGCACTCGCCTGCACCTCCTCCTTGTCCTCTTTGTTTATTCTCTGGCATCACCCACCCTGTTGCTAACCCTTGAGCCCCTGGCTAACTCACCCAGCCCCCTGCCCATAGCACCCTGTGCTCGTTGGGTGGATGAGTTAGGGGGGGCTGCAGGTCAGTGATGGACCACAGAGGATGGTGGAGGACGAGGTCACCCCTAAAAGCTTTCCTGTCAGTGAAGATGCAGAGTGCCACAAGCTAATAGCTGTCGCTAACAGCTAATTTCCAGGCTGCACATTGCAGCTCTGTCTGTGACAGCAGGAAGGAGACAGAGAGGAAGAGTGAAAGGGAAGGATGGAACAAAAAGCAGGAGAGATGGAAAAAATAAAATGTGGTGGATGACAGAAAAAGGCAATGAACAAGGAATTAAGTGCAGTGGGATGTTCAAGGAAAGAGTGTGAATGAGACAAACAGAGATGCTCACTGTGCCATATCCTCAGTGCCTGCGATGGCAGTGCCAGGCATGGAGAGAGAAGTGAAAGAATGAGAGAGAGAGTGCGACAGAGTCTGAGGATGAGCTTCTGTAGTCTGGCTTAGAAAAGAAGACTTAATCCACAGGACTGACTCAAGCCGAGAGCTGGAAGGATTGCACTTCTCCTGACTCCCTCACTCCTCAGGAGATGCTGCTGCTGTCACTACTGTTGCTGCAGCAGCCCCCCCCCCCCCCCCCTCCCTGCACAACGCTCTCTTGTTAGACCTATTCTGTAACTGCAAACTTGTCCAAAGAATTGCATTACCCATGCACAGGCTGAACAGTACGTGCACAAACGCACACATGCAGGCATAGATTTTAGGCAGAGGGCTGCAGGGTTGTTAAAATATTCAGTGAGAATCCAGCAGTGGAAGCTGAGCCGGTACCAGTGACAGGTTTCCCTAACAACAGCAGCACATGGGCCAGTGATGCAGTGGAAGCCATAGAGCAGAGGACACACACATTAATGAGAGGACGCTCATGCGCACTCACACACACACACACATAGAGCAGCATCTGTAGAAGGGGTGGGTCCATAGAGCAGCACATGGTATATGGCCCCACCCCATCCCTCTCTTAAAGAGCCACCACAGCTGTATATAAAGATGTGTAGTAAATATCTAAATTCTTCAGTGTATGCCGGACAGGTCTCTGCTGAGACAGAGCGACACAATTATAACACGCGTGAAGCAGAAGCAGTATTTACAGTAAATGTAGAAAATACTGCAGTCATGCCAAAAACATTATAAAACTAAAGTTGATGAATCAAATAAAGTTTTATCTTATCCAATGTCAGTTTATACTTCATCTTAATCCATTTATCATAGAGGTGGAAATTATCTTCAGTTGCAGCCATTTACTACTCCAGTACTCTGAGTTATGTTTTACTTTCATTTCAAGCATGTGCAAAATAGTACAGTGGATATTAAAGATGAAGAAGGTAAAGACCCTGATAAAGATATATAAACAAAGCAGCTTCCATGGCGAGGAGCGAGGAATAAAAAAGAGGAAGTTAACACACTTATTGGAGGCCATACTATTGAAGGGCTGTTCAATAACAATGCAAACACCAGCCTGAATAACCTTTGATAGTGATGTGTGCTTGCGTCTGCTTATCTCACATCTACCAAAGCAAATACACACGGAGACAAACAACCTGCATGACAGCTTGAAATCTTAAAGCGTCTTAGAGGCTGCGGCTAAAAACATCAGAGTGACAAAATGATTAAAGATGCCACGTGTGATAGGCAACTTTGCTCGAACACAACACAGATGAACACCATGGAACTGGCCTTACAGTAACTTTTTGAGTTATTTCATATATAAAGCTCTGCAGAACAAGACTTGCTGCATCATCACTAAGGGAGTACGTGTTGCACAAACAGACATATTCATCAAAGAGCAATCTGATCTTTGTCCCTGCAGGACATAGTAATCCTACACTCAGACTTTAACCGGATAGGCTGGGCTACACTCCCTTCTCACACCTATTGAATGCGTGTGTGAGAGACACAGATATATGGGAAAGAATTAACTAATGTGACCACAGTTATGTTTGGAAATAATAAATCTGAATCTACAGGTACAACAACACTTGTATTCATCATTTTGTCAGTTCCAGCAGATGATTATCAGAAAATAAATAATGAAACTATTTGAGTTGCAGGATTTAGTGTGGAGCTCTTTCGTATTTATAGGAGTTGACATTTTATCTTGTTCTGCTCTGTATTGACATGGGTTATATGTGATTATTAATGTTAAATTTAATAACAATGACAAATTTAAGAAGAATGAAAAGGTAAATACACTGATTGAAAGGAGTCAGACAGAAACAGCGTGCAATAGATTTGACACCTGGCAACATGCTGCCAGTAGCTGATGGGAAAGGAGATATCAAACTTGTTTTGCCTTGCGGCAGAAGCATTTTTGTGCAGGCACATTGCGGGAAGATCCCAGAATGTACTGTAGGATTCAGTGATCACAGCATATAAGCCAGACTCATTGTTGTGGCCAGAGGTGCATGAGATGATTGTGCATCTTGTAGAGCTCACTGCAGCATGGGAACATGAAATAAATAAATAATGTGAAAGGAAGTTGGATGAATACGAAGCTAGCGGCAGGATTGTGAAGCCTGACAGCACAATGTGATAGAAAATGGATGCTGAGAGTTTGCAGCAGTGGAATATTTTGGACTAGATATCAAGGCTTTCGTGGGAAAGCGGAAGGAGGGTGATAATGGGGGGGTAGAAAGAGGAGGACAAATTGGGACCCCAGAGAGAAGCTGCAACCTGATGTTAAAATATTGAGTCATGTTTGTTTGTTTTTTTTAAACATATGTGTTTTGATAGTTTAGTCATTTGAAACTACACACAAGGGTGAAACTGTGCAACAAACAACGTGAAGGCAACAAAACGAGCTTCCCTTTATCCCAAGGTTTTACCTCGTCACAACTATTGTGTAGAAAACGTATGCATAAGCTGATGCACATTGCAATTCATGCAAAATGTTGTGGGTTAATGAATATCAATAACATCTCAACAAGGAGTTTTGTATGAATGCTAGCATTGGAGAAGTGTATGTCACAATGGGTTCTTTAGCTCACATTCTGTGTTAACAAATACATCTGTACTTTAATCCTTCATCTCACACTGTGTATACTCTGACTCCTGAAGCAAACTCCTTTTAATTAGACTAACCAAACATGGCAAACTAAAGAACATGTACACACAGTACTTTTAAAAGGAGAAAACTTGTTGTGCAACTAAACAGCATTGCAGAGTTTAAAAATGTTCATTCATACATTTGAGGGTTAAGGTAACATTTTGAATATCAATGATTTCCACTATGATTTCCTGAAGAAGAAGCGTTATGAGCATATTTCCCAACCTGCAATTTGCAAAATTCTCCAGCAGAGCATCTAACATTAACAAGTGTGTGAGGTTTATACCACAAGACAAACTATTTTAGGCTGTTTTGTCATCTGGACACCAACAACACTGATCAACATTTTAGTGTTTTATAAGCCCCCACCATTAAGCGTTGAGAATTGGCCGTTTAAATGATATATACCACATTACATCAGAAATAAGCAGGTGGAGGCACTGAAGTGACCATAAACAGTTTACAGCCCAATGTTAAACATCTGCTACCTGGGGACTGAACAAAGGATTGAACAAAAGAAATGTTGAACCTTGTTATAATGAAATACAGAAATATAAAATATAATTACTTAACTATTCAGATTTTTATGATTTTTGCAATACCTCTGGCAATATTGATTTGATTTGATGGTTTGTCCCATAACAATGATCATAATGCAAATAATCAACACATACAAATATAAAAGATAGTAATGAAATGAATCTGAAATTAACTATATAAAGACTGACATAAGCTAAACTAAAAAAAAAAGCATTTTAATTTTACGTTTGCATATAATGTCAGGATAAATGGGATTAAAAGTCCAAATAACTTTTTTTCTTTTACTAAAATAGCAAGCAAAGTTACATGTTGTAGAAAAGTTTAAGGACCACACAGATATATATTTTAAAACACAAACTAAAGCCATGAACCAAACTGTAGCTGCTGTCACCCTGAGCCTGTCCTCCTGCTGTTCACCTGTCACTTCAACAGAAGCACAAAATGTCAGCAACAGGTGTTTGTCTGAGGAGCTCGGTCTCATCCACCATCAACCACAGCGCAGTCACACTCACAAACTATTTACTTTACACAGCCGGTCCTGTGTAATGGACGAACAAGAACCGGTTGGGTGAGTCGGTGGAAAGTTAATCCCACTCCCGTGACCGACACACCGGCTCCGAGGACTTGAGTTTCTCGGTAACTCCGCCGTTTAAACACCGACGCGACCAAACACGGAGCCCTGGTAACACCCTGCGTAGTTAATGTGGAGCTGAGTCCTTTTCTTGAAAAAGGCACTTTAAAGTTTCCCGTGCGGGAGAAGAACTCACCTTGGGACTCGGAAGAAGATGCGTCGCTGCCGTCCAGGTCCGCCATTTCTCCTGACGTCAGCTGAGAGGGATCAGAGGCAGGAACCGCAGCGACCTGCCGCCGCCGCCGCGCTGATCCCTAGAGCTCAGCCCGGAGCCGGACACCCTCCCCCGGACAGGTGGGAGGGCGACACCGGCTAACGTGCAAGCTAACATGCTAACACGACCACACAAACACGTGAGAGATACAGAATAAACTTTTCATACTTTTGTTTTTCCAAACCTCACAAAACACACACAGGCCTTCAGCTGTCCTCAAACACCAGCTTCATTCTACTTCAAACTTTGATGTACTTACAATATACATTTGTGTTCACATCATGGTATTTTTACTTTTATACGTGTATTTTTAATGAACTTCAGATGGGGGGGCAAGGTGAGCAAGTGAAACCACGTGGTCTTAGCTCTATAAGAAAGTCGTGTGCTGACATCTACTGGAAATGATACTGCAACACTATGATGCAATCATTCAGTTCAACACAATTATCAGTCATGTCAGGTTCCTTTGTTTATTTTAGTTAATTATTAAGATAATTAAAAACATATGATTTTTTTTTTTGTCCAACTCAAAAAAGCGGCCCCAATAAAAGTGCTATCTAAATTCAATGTATTGCTGTTATTGTTAATATTATTAATTATCTGAATTACTCTGGTGTGTGGATCAATAAATTTATCTTATCTTATCTTACATTATGTTCTTTATATTAACTTAACTTATTATTTTTAGTAGTAGTAGTAATCGTAGCAGTAGTGGTAGTAGCAGTATTAGTTTACTTAGTTAAAGATACATTTAAACGTATCTCCAACCAAAAGTAGGTTAATATTTGCCACAAAAAAAAAAAAAACTTACTTAATCAGCAAAACAAAACAATAGCCAGTCATTGTCAAAAAAACTTTAAACAAATTTGTGGTTGCACAAACTATATTACCCTTTCTAAAGTCAAAGTTAAGTCAATAAGCAAATTACACATGTATTTGTTTTACAAATGTATTTTTAGAAGCTGACAAAGAAAACAGGTTTTCATTGTTTTTACAACTTCAGTTTCATGTTGGTTGCAAAAGGCATCTAAAGGAGAAAGATAACACATTAGACCAAACTAGTTTTGAGATGAGTCATAGCTTGTTTTTCACCACACATTCTATTGAAAGCTACACCGCAGCACTTGATACACATGTTCATGTCAGTTCAAATCTTTTTCTCAGAGGACAGGTGTTAACATTATAAATATATATAGTGTTTTATATATATATATAAGACAGTGAGTGAACATTTACAACACCAGGAACATGAACAAGTAAAGGAGCGAAAGGGAATTCAGTCAACATTCATTTTTATAATTTTATTAATGTGACACTGTTTTTTTCATACTGCGACATGTCAAAAACACTCTCTGTGAAATATACTAACAATACACAATGAAATAGTTTTTTTAAAGTTTTAAGTTTAAGAAATAGGTGATATTTTTCAACCCAAAATGGAGCATTTCATTGTTCTATATGATGAAAAACAAAACATCTCCACATTTAGAGGGACATGATTTTCTCTGGACAGTAAGTTATAGTAGAAAAAATAGTATAAGAGGTGTTGAACTCGCCAGTCACATATCTTTCATGTACATTGATATTGTGTAATAGCTCCAGCAGAGGGAGCCATCTTCTAACGTTGAAAATATTTGACTCATCAAAACTCCATTCAACCTTCATGTGGGCTTTGTGCCTTTCTCAATAATAATCAATCAATACAATTTTTAATCAGAAGATTCAGCTAATTGCAGAACAATTGAATGTTTGCGTATTATTTAATTTCCTGTGATATTTATAGATTACAGGTACAGTGGGCACCACAAAACAATACAAATTTATCAATTTAACAAAAAAACTTGTACTTTAGCCAGAAATGCAGATGAATAACTGAGTAAACGGAGCGACAACGGGTGTTTCACCTCAGATTCAACCCTTTAACAACAGAGAAAGAGACGCAAGACAATAAAAAAAAACATGTCACTGTTGATTCAACTAACCCAGTGATATTTGTGACAGGATTAACTGTTCCTGGCTGAATGTATGCTAATCTCCACTCATATCGTTTCTATTTGTCAGACTGTGCAGGCTTGCACCCCCCCAAAAGACCCCCAGTAAAATGTCTACTGACTGGTGATTGGTTCACAGGAAACTGCAACCATGGCAACCAGCTGTTTGGCAATTCCTCCGATGGGAGATGTGGAGGGAAGAGACACTGGCCTGTAGGTAATACTCACATACTGAAAGACAGACACACACCCACACACTCCTGGACATCACGGTAATGTTGGTTTTTCAGACAAAACCCGCTCCAGACAAGGCTGCCCTCCCACTTCTCCTCTTTGATGTCTGTTGGTGCTCGATGTCTGGTTTTGTTTTTCTTTTTGCTGCTTGTGTCAGAAGCCTCGAAGGGTGGTCATGGAGGTTAGCACAGGGTTAAGTCAGTAGGTGGTGGTTTAGCCGAGCGGGGGGGGGTTCAGGGTCATGTGTGTCTGAGTGTGTTCACATGTGCTTGATGAAAGCCGCCCCAAACTGTCTGTAATTGGCTCCCAAGGGAATAAGATCTTAGCATCCCCCCCCCCCCCGCTCATCAGTAAAAGCTTACCATGGAAATATACACACTCTGAGCATCTGCATGGCATCGAGTAAGTGAGGGACGACACTAAAAAGACTCTTTGCTTGATCTCAATGTGTACAAGATTTGAAGGGAATGGATGTCAGACATTTCCACATCTGCTGATCCTCTGTTGATTAACGCTCATGGTTCCTCATGGAAGACTGTAATCAACCGAGAGTGTAGGGGGGGTGGGCTGCAGAGGAATAAGCAGATCGAGGAAAGGATTGATTTTGAGGACAAGCGGCCCCGCTTGTGCTCACTGAGTCATTTGGTTTAATATGGAGCTGGAGCAGAGGCTGGCTAACATCATGGCAGAGGTCAGATGAGTTTCTAGATTAAGAAGGCTGGTTTAACAAGAAGGATCAACAAATCATGTATTTTAGATCGAGAAGGGTCGGGCATTGAATGTAATTATCCACGACAAAATGCTACAAAATAAAAAACAAAGGAAACCAGCCAATCAGAGGATTCTTCCTGCCTGGGAACACCGTTCTGTGTTCTCCTATCAGTCTTGTTTTGTTGTAAGAATATGTACAATATGTAAGAATTTTTTTGATGAGATAATTATTGGTCTGATCTGATTAATGATTGATCAACTTTTTAATATTGCATGCAACCTGTTTCTCTCCTGTTACACGTCTGTTGTTGTTTGTGCACTTGTGAGACATGGAGCGTTGTTTTGGTAGCATGATGCTAATAGCCTCTCTAATTATCACGATCTCTACATAATTCACTATACGCAGATGGTATGATGGAGAATGATGTGTACTCACCCCCTGCAGACAGACAGATCCCCCAGGAGGACCCCCCCATGTTGTCTGCATAGACTTGCCCTGCCTTGAGCACACACGCGCTCACCGCTGCATGCTGTATCTAGGTATGAGACCCTTCACAGCTGACCAATCTCAGCCCTCTGGGTACGCACAGAAAGGACCAATCACAGCGAAGACAACAAAGCTAAAAAACAATGACTTCATACACAAACAGGCCAGCCGACATATGGCTATGTGACTCAAGTAAATAGTGCTATTAATTCTAAATCCCTGTAATTAATCCCCCGGGTGGTTACAGTGGTATTGTCCACATAGTGTTTATAACCGCAGTTTACAGCCTGATATCCAAGCATTTATTGTGTTGGACAAGCTTAGGGGGTGACTTAACAGTACAGAATTAAATACACAGCATATAGGCTCTGCATAAGTCCCTGCTCTGGCCTTATGATATGGAAAAACAACATAGACCCTAATTACCACTAATCACGTCTAAAATAATGTAGAATATGTTAATATTAATGTACATCTCCTGTACTTAATAATCCCACAAAGGAGCACGATTGTTCATTGTTTCCTGAAAAATCTTACTCGAGTATGGATCATGATGTTTTTCTTAATAACATTTAATTAATAACACATTATTCATATAAAACATTAGTTACTCTAGTGCTGAACTCTAGTAACTGAACAGGTACTTGTGCTTTAATTGAGTATTTTCATTTTGTGCTACTTTACACAAATCTCTGTGTAGCTGTGTGAGTAATAGCAGTTGTAGTAGAAATAGTCACAGCGTTGGCAGCTAAGTCTGTGCGATCATGTACACGCCTACATGTTTTTATGCTTGAAGAGCAGAAGTTGTAACATTTATGTCTGGAGTGCTGAAAAATTGAATGGGCTCAGTGTAGCAAAATTAAAGAGATTTCCCACGAGATGCTTTGTGGGTTAGCACTTCTCACACACACACACACACATACTCACACACTCACACGCTCACACATTTGCAAGCAGAGCACATGCATGAGCATTATATAGTATTTATAAAGTGAAGAAAGAAGGTTGTTCCCAGAGATGTGATTGCACTTAAGGTTCCAATAAAATATTCAGCGAGTTTCCAAAATACATAATCCTGCTGGAAGTTAAAAGCTAACTTCTTCTGCCCCTTCAACATAAAATACATTTGTTTCTAGTAACTGTTTTTAAGTTTATAATTGAAATGCTAGGGGGGAGTCCTGTGTCCTCTTTTACACACGAAGCAAAAGGTCATTAATGTGTAGCGTGAACAGCTCTGTGTCTTCTTCTCTTCCTCTCTGTCCGGGCAATAAGTGATGCTGTTTGGCTGAATTGCCTGTCATGTGAATGAATGATCAGGCTACAGCACCGTGACATGCCGCCCCAGCATTTGTCTGATGCTGCACTGGGGTTCCACAGCAGCGGAGACAAGATGGGATCTCTCCTCCTCCTGAAGGGAACTGTGGGGGTGGGGGGATGCTGCTGGTGTCACCCTCATCTCTCATCTCGCTCTTTACCACCCTGGTCATATACAGAATCCTGCCTGTCTTGTTATATTCTCAAGCTGCCAGCCTCCCCCTACCCTGCTCTCTGAAGTACTGGCATGATGGATCTCCTCACCCACAAGGGAATGATGAAGAGAGTAAGGGGGGGGCAGAAAGGAGCTTGTAGGATCAAGAGAGGGAATGGCAAACTGAAGAGGGGGGATGGGAAGACATTAAATTTACAGTAGGATCTGCCGGGATATATCACATGAGGAAATGTGATGTATTGCTATTGTATTTCTTGAACATTTCTAGTGGCTGTATCACTATCACTCTTGCCAATCTAATTTCATTTCATACATCCATACACTTCCCTGTCTTCTGTCACACAGCTGCCTCCATCCACATCAGTTTTAATATTGTGAAAAGGCATGACCGACAGCAGCTCGGGGACTGTGCTGGTGTGAGATTTGCTGGTGTGCACCCAGCTGACTGAACCCGGCACACTGGCTTGCTGGCTGGCGGGTTTGGAGAGGGAGGGTTACAGCTCCCATCCTCAACGATTCTCCTCACATTCACCTTGCAGTCCCAATTATTCAAGGCGGCGTGCACGAGCGCTCCCTGCCAGCCAGCCCCAGCTGTGAAAAAGTGGGTCATGGAATTTAAAGGCACAAGCAGCCTTGTCACGCTGCATGGTTGCCCTGGTACCGTTTTGGCTTTCGATTCCTTCCAACACGGGGCAACAGCAGCATCAGCAGCAATTTGTGCGTGTGTGCAATTCAGCTTCCTGCAGTGAAATCCACAAGGCTGTTTGGGAATGTGTGTCAGTGAATCAGAAGACATTCATTAGCACGTTCTCTGCGGGAATGAAACCAGTGGCGCATTCACTGAGTGTGTCTCTCTCTCTGTCTGTCTCCTCTGTAAACTGGCCTATATTCTTCCACATGACTTGGCGTCAGAAATAAAAATTATGAACTTTTACTTGCACTGAGGTTTACTTATGTTTCGTTATGGTTATTCTTTCCATAAGCCCACACAATGGTCCCCCTGAATCACCATGTTGAATCTTCCTCAGAGATCAGTGAAGACTTTCTACCTAACAACAATGTACAGTAGGGCAGTAGGTTGTTCCATATGGGGCTAGACATGCTGCAGAGGAAGGCTACTCATGCGCACATTGAGCAATAATGTCATACCCTGATGAGCTCTGTACAGAATCACTCAGTGCACAGGAGTGTCCTAGTAAACCGCTGCCACACAGTGTGGAACTGAGAGGGAACACACTGGCACCCATCATGCGCTAATGTGCCCTTTATGCAGAATCACAGGCACGTGAAAGCACATGCACACCAAGGACTACTCACACACGCACACACACACACACACACAAATCCCAACATGTTTGAATAATGAAACACACTCAGCTACACACATGCATCTGTACAAATTAATATAAAAACTCTGGATTTCTGTTTGACATTTAAAGCATTCACAAAACTGAATACACAGTGTTCATTACTGAGCTGTAGAAGTGCTGGTAGGTGGATGTTGTTTCATACAGACAGATCCTCTTCATCCAGTCTGCTGGGCTAACCATTCACTTTTAGCTTAGCTTAACCTAACCACAAATCATTTAACGACCCTAATATAGAGTTGTAATGCTCTTCTCGTGTAACTCTCGGCAATAAAGCAAAAAACCTTATTTCCTAAAAATGCCTTCTAACACATAGGACATCATCCTTATCCATTAAAAATGAAATACACAGGGGATATACGTTTAAACAGTACAGAGTCGTTCTGCATTTTTATTATCAGCAAAAACAAACCACACATCACATTACATTTTAAAAACTAGGACGCTTATTGTGGATGTACAGAAAAACAAAAAAGAGAAACAG